GTTTTGTGTTTCCTTTCCTGAATAGTGATAAAACATTATTTTTTGAAAGACACACGTCCAGACTCAGAGTCAACCTTCTGAGTTCAAGGGGTGTGAAAGTCCTGCGTCCCATCTATTAGTCAGTCACAAACAAGCATTAAGCATTTCCTATGTGCCAGGAATGGTGAGAAGTGCTGGGGATACAAAAAAAGGCAAAAATATAGTCCCTGCCCTCAAGGAACTCACATTCTAACAGGGGAGAAAACATGTTTGCAACTAAAGTACATTTTGTATACAGGGTGTCCCAAAAGTCTTAGTGCAACTTAATGCCCTATATGTATGTTAGTATCTGTTTACGTGTGCATTTGTGCACACTTTTACAGAGAGGTAAGAAGTAATCTAAGGGGAGAAAATACTAGCAACTGGGAAAAGGGGTGAACAGGAAAGAAGTCCTGCAGAAGGAGTGATGTGAGCTCAGTCTTGAGGGAAGTCAGAGAGAGACTAAGAGGTGGAAGTGAGGCATTCCAGGCATGGGGGAGGGTCAACACAAAGACTGAGAAGGAAAAATTAGACAGACGGGAGGAGAACCAGGAGAGAGGATTATCATGAGAAAACTTGAGATAAGAAAGGATCCTAGAGAAGATGATCGACAAAGTCAAATGATGCAGAGGTCAAAAAGGGTGAGGATTGGAAAAGGGTCGTTGTATTCCCTAACCACACACACACACACACACACACACACACACACACACACACACACATTTCTGTCCTGGATCTCCTGCCCTGTTTTGTGCATCTAGTATTTCTGGAAACGCAACAGTTCTGAACCCCTCCCTCCCCACTTTCAGCTCCTCTAGACTCTCAGAACTGCCCCTGTCTCACTACAATCCTCCCCTCCTGAGAAGATTTCCCCATCTTCTAGCCCAATCCCATCCCCAACAAAGCCTCATTTAGGACTGAAGCTGCTAGGGAACTTGGCCAGGGGAGGAGAATATTGGAAAAAGAGGAGATTTTAGAACCTAGAATGTCAGAACCTAAAGAGCTCTTAGAACACAGACCAAAGATCATCCCAGTTTGAAGACACCATTTTGTTCAAATTTTTCATTTTACATATTAGGAAAGTGGGGTAGAAAGAGAAGAGCTTTGCCCGAGGGCACACAGAAACTCAATGGAAGAGCTGAGCTGCTCCTAATCTCCAGACACCTGTTCTGCTAGCTTGGGAGCCTCGACCTATTCTGTACCCCAATTCTGGATCTCAAAGAATCTTCTGCCCTGCTCTGCACATCTGGTATTGCTAGAAATGAAGCAGCCCTGAAACCCTCTGTCACACCCTTGACTATACTTGGAAGTCAGTTCCTCCAGGCTCTCAAGACTGCTCCTCCCTCACTGGAACCGTTCCTCCTGGAACTGACCCTTCTTGGACCAATCCTCCATTTCCTATCATGGTCCCACCCCAAAAGAGTTCTAACCAAGGACTTAAGCCACTAGGGAGTTTGGCTGGGGAATGACCTAGGGAGAAGGACTCTACCCCCATTAACTTCTCTTTATCCTGCTGAGATAGGACTATAGCAAAGGAGGCATAGAACTGACTCAGAGGGGTAGCCTGAATCAAAGTGAGTTGTCTTAGACTGGGAATCTAGGCACCTGGGAACTCAGAGCTGTCTCCACACATCATCTCTCTGCTTCTTTTTGCCACCCAAAGAACTACCAATCCTCCCTCACTCATTCAGAAAGGGAAACTGAGCCTCAGAGAGGGGAGGGAAGGTTCAGGTTCACCTAGAGAGCCAGGAGCTGGGAATAATAATCAGTCTCATTTCTATAGCCCTTCAAAGGTCACAACACACTATCTTCACAGCAACCTGGGAGGTAGGTAATGGTTCCTCTACAAATGTGTTAACTAGAACTTAGCCAGAACCTCAATGCTGCTTGATAATCCTTTTATTTTTCCCTGGTTTACTCACAATCTTATACCCCACATTGTCTATTCCAAACTTTCTCATCTGTTCACACACACACATACACACACACACACCCCAGAGAAGCTTGCCTCCTACTTTCCTGAGAAAATATAAACCTTTCACATATCTTCCCAGTTCCACATCACATTCCTCTACTTCATTCCTCCTTTGCTTTTGGCTCTGAAGAAAAGGTGGCCCTCCTCTGTCTAGGCCAAGGCTAGCCCTTGATTCTATCCCCTCAGTCTCTGCAGGAGAAGAGAGTTGGTACAGTGCCCTAGACCCTGTGGGCCAAGCAACAGTTCCTCAAAGTTACAGACTGGGTGCCCCTCCAAGATTGCTTCATCATTTCAAAATTCTGTTCTTCAGTACTGATCTACAATCTGACCAGAAGTAGCCAGGGAGTCCTGCACCTCCTATGAGCCTAAATGCTGAGTCACCATGTCCTAGGAATCTCAGGAAGTTTCCTTAGAATGTCTCCAGAAGCCTCTTCTAAATCAGGCTGATGACCTAGTATGACTCAAGATTTTTGAGTAAAGGAATGACATGGTCAAGTTAAAGAAATTTATAGATTTCTAACAAGTCACCAAAGGGAATCTGAGGAGATGACAGACTAGTCCTAACTCCTGAGGATAGTGTCAAGGTAAGCATGTCCCTTCTTTAAAAAAAATCTTTTTTTTCCCAATTACATGTAAAAACAATTTTTTTCTTTTTTCTTTTGCTAGGCAATGGGGTTAAGTGACTTATCCGGGGCCACAGAGTTAGTAAATGTCAAGTGTCTGAGGACAGATTTGAACTCAGGTCCTCCTGACTCCAGGGCCAGTGCTCTATCCACTGTGCCGCCTAGCTGCCCCTGAAAACAATTTTTAACATTCATTTTTTTAAAAAATTAGTAGTTCTAAATTCTATCTCTCTCTCCTTCCATTCCCCCTTCCCTGAGATGGTAAGCAATTTATTATACATGTGCAATCATGTAAAATATTTCCATATTAGTCATTTTGTGCAAGAAAAGGAGAGAGAGAGAGGAAGGAAGGAAGGAAGGAAGGAAGGAAGGAAGGAAGGAAGGAAGGAAGGAAGGAAATGATGGGGTATGGGACCTGTACCCCTAAAAGGAAAAGACTATATCTTTGCCCAGAACTTTCCAAGTCCCTGGTGTTCGCCTGAGGCATCACCCATCCTAGTCAATAATCCTTTCAACTGTCCTTTCATTATGGCCCCTGACCCAGCCCAGCACTTCATTCTCTGTTATCTCTGGACCACCCCAGGCTACTTGCCACTCCTAGATCACATCCAGATCTTTCCACAGTCTTTCTGTATAAAAGTGTCAATCTTGCCCCACTAGGAGTCTGACCCACTTCTATTGGTGTTACAATAAACCCATTCTTGGGCTGAAAGAAGGCTTGAGTGGTCTAATTCTTTTGAGGCAGACTCATGCCCTATTTCTCTCTGTCTCTCTGTCTCTCTCCCTCTCCCTCTCTCTCTCTCTCTGTGTCTCTCTCTCTCTCTCTCTCTGTCTCTCTCTGTCTCTCTCTCTCTCTCTCTCTGTCTCTCTCTGTCTCTCTCAGTGGAGTAAGAGAGTCCTTTGTTAACAAGCATACATAAGTTCTAAGATTTAACCTACTGCTTTTGCAGTTTTATAGGGGAAATCTAGGAAAACAATCCCTGGTAAGAGTCAATCTCTAGGGTTGGGAAAGGTCTGATAAAATTTCTGACATAGCCAACCCCACATTACCAAGCACCTTACTCTCCACCTTAAGCATCCCCCCCCCCCATTCATGCCGCTTCTCTGCAATCTCCTTAAGTATAGGAAAGTTCTGGGCCTTTTGAGGTCCCAGTACCTTCCTCTTCCCTCCAGAAGTATCCTCCACCATGAGCCTGTGCTTCTTGGTGTAATTGTCCTGTATCATGAGGACTCAAGCTGATGGGAAATGTAATCCCAGGAAGTTTCTTTCAATGAGGGATTGCTACCTAGGCTCAAATATCATAAGGGTGCAGTCAGATGGAAATGTCCTTACTATATCTCCTTGTTCTTTGCAAATAAACTCTAAAGGACCCCACTCATGTTGTTGGTGGAGGGGGAAAGAGGGAAATGAGTGCAGTCTTTAGGGCTACAGGGATGAGGGGAAGCAATAGGGAAACAGGAGACCAGATCTCTGAATCTAGGATCTAAGGGGCCAGGGGTCAGGGAAGTCAGAAGGCTCAGGCACATCCCACTGGGGTTCAAAAATTAGGCAATGTTTAGAAGGTAGTGGATGAGGAAAACCTCTCTCCCCTAGGGCCTAAAACTCCAGCCATGAGCTCATTCCTGCACAAGTCTTCCTAACCCTCAACACCCTCCATTCTAACTTAACTCTTCTCAGTTCCTGCCCCTCTGGCCTTTAGTCTATTGGTCCATTAAAAGAAGCCAATCCAAGCTCTCCCTACCACTAAGACAGACCTTTGGCACTAGAACCACATATTCCCACAGAATCACCAAACACAACCTTGCCTACAGTAACGTGAGACTAGCTTTGTGACTCTGGGCCAGGGATATACTGGAGTCACTTGTATAGGCTAGGGAGAACTGCCTGTTAACTTTTCAGTGTGAACACTTACACTTTAGAAATCAGCAAATGCTACAAATGAGGACTTGATCTATCCTATTATTTATTGTTAAGGCTAAAGAAAGTAAGGGAGAAAATGTTAATAATATAGTTTAAATTTAAAAGCGTGCCATGTGTACATGGGTCTTTTTTTTTTCCTAGAGAGCCCATTGTCAAACACTTATCAGTACATCCTGCTCTGAGCAAATCATTTCAACTCTATTAGTCTCTAGTGTCTCATACATCAAATGGGGGGAATAATATTTGCACTAATATCTCATAGGGGTTTTCTGAGGAAAGTGCTTGGTGTGACAGAGACCAAGTTCCACAAGGTCTCATATTAAGTGGAGATACAGCCCCTTCACACAGTAAAGCCCTGGTCTAAGAGGGCAGACTCAGCATTAGAGTTACAGTTGAAGGGTGGAGTCATGTTCATACTTCCCATTTTTTTCCAATAAATAAATGTGTCTCGAGGTCATTGATGCAGAGCCAGAAGGGACCTCAGAGACCAGAATTCAACCTGCTCATTTACAGATGAAGAGACTGAGGAACAAAGAGTTTGAATGATTTGCCTGATGTCACCCAGGTAGTAAGTGGGAGAGGCAGGATTTTAAATGAGATCTTCAGAGCCCTTTCCATTGGACTATACTGCCTGAAGTGTGAACTGTTAGAGAGCCTATATTGACAGCATCTACTCAGGGAGCCCAGATCCCTGTCTGACTAAAAGAACAGATGGACATTGAAGCTACTGATTCCATTGCAGATGACCAGCAATTCTTCTGGTCCCAAGGTGAGCCCCCTGGAATTGCACCCACCTTCCTGCAACCCAGCTACCCTTCTCATTACTCTCATTCCAACCCCTCTCCCCAGATGCTGGGGCTCCCCAACTTCCTGTTGCCTTGAGACAAAACTTTTCCATATCATTGCAAAACCACTTCTCTAGGGAGTTCCAGTGCTAAAAGGCAAAAATCCAAAGCCCTCAGCCTGGCAGTCCCAGAATCATAAAGCCAGGAGGAATTCCACATGGGATCCCTATATCGGATCATTAAGCTGGCATGGGATTCCACATCCCTGACAAATGAGCATCCAGCTTCTCTTGGGACACCTCCACTGCCTTCCAAGGCATTATTCAACTTGGGGATAGCTTGGAATGGTATGATCCTGACATTGAGCCCAAATCTACCTCTCTGCAATTTCCATTGATTGTTTCTAGTTCTTCCTTCTAGGGCCAGGCAGAATAAGTAAAATCCTCCTACACAACAGCCCTTCAAATATTTGAAGACAATTATAATATCCAAGCCCAGATCTCCTCTTCTCCAGGCAAAAATATCATCCCCACTTTCTTTAATATAGTCCTTGATACGCTCACTATCCTGGTCACTTTCTTTTAGATACGTTCTAGTTTGCTGATGTCCTTTCAAAAATGTGGGTCCTTTCCCAGTGTGGTCCCACTGTACCTTTCCTGCCTTACTTTGCACTCTGGGTGGTAGAGGGAAGGGGAAGCCAAGGATCCTGGGTTCTTCTTCCTATGTCCTCTTCATCTTGGAGAAAGAAGGAGAACTCTCCTCCTTTGGCCAAGTCTCTTGGAAAATTTCAAGGAACTCTTGATTCTGTGCTTGGCTTGTGGGGAGCAGAAAAAATTGGTCTTGTGTTTCCTGTTCTGGACTTACTCTGCCTGAAGGCAAGGGTCAAGGTGCTCACTGTCCCCTGAGATCCCTGGGAAGGCCACACAACCCAAACTACAAGTCCCAGAGCCTTATCAGTCCAATCAGAATGCCAGGCCTTCAGTTTTCTCATCAAGAGGAGCAGCTCTCTCCTGCTGAAAAGAAGGAGGTACGACTGGTATAAGGGGGAAGAGGAAAAAGAAGAGATGGCTTATAACATCTACTATAAGGAGTTCAGTAGGGAGACTCTCAGAGAAGAATAAAATTATGCTTATGTAGCGGTGATGGCCCAGTTGAGATTAGGTAACATAAATTGTAGTAGAGGCAGTTGGCGTAGTTTCATGACTTCCTCCAATAGCATCTGATGGCTTTGGAGTAGGACCATAGAAAGCAGAGGTGGTGTTTAGCAAGGTGTGAGAGGTCATAGGACACTGGAGCAAGGGAATCAAGGACAGGAAAGAGTCTAATTGAACTGCTTCACAGGGATAATAATACTTGTACAAGACAGAGCATGGGCTCTTCACCTTTTGCGTATGTCTTGGGTAGTAGAGTGAAGCCTCTGGACTTCTCAGAATTATGTTTTTAAGTACATAAAATCAATACAGAGGATTGCCAAAGGAAACTGAAAGTTAGTGAAAATAAAGAAGCAATTGTTTCCTATTCAAGTTTATGGATCCCATGAAATCTACTCATAGGCCCCTGAGTGGCCTGTAGACCTCAGGTTAAGAGAACCTATGCTAGAGGCAATGTGGAAAGAGTGCTAGACTTAGCATTAGAAAAGACTCGGGTTTGAATTCCCCTTTCAACAATTTTTTAAAATTTTGTATTTGTTAATTATTAGAATTATTAAATTAAAGTTATTAAATCTAATTTTTACAAAAATTATTAATGTAACAGACATGGGTGAATGCAAGCATTTGCATATGCAAAGAAATGCGTGGAGTGGGAGGGTGAATTGCATAGGAGGCCTTGGCTTTCTACAGTGTACAGCTTAGAGGGGAGGGAGGAAGTGGGTAATACATTTAACATAGTTGTGACCACAGCAACAGCTTAGAAGGCCAGGGCTGTGGCCTGTTTCAGTAACATTGCTCTAGACTTGAATCTTTCTCCTTCTCTAAGGCCTTTTCTCCAAGACAAAGATGCGATTACACCCTGGGATGCAGCGAATGGCCCAAGCAGCCCTCATCCTCCTGTCCTTGGTTTTGCTCATATCCCTTGTGATTGTGGCTGCTCAATGTGAGTAATTCCAAGAGTTCCTGACTATGGTTCCATGGGGCTTGCTGTATCTCAAATTGGGGGGAGTTCTGCTTCTCCCTTGGGGGAGAGGGGTGTTGCTGTGGTAGCAGAAATGGAGGTGCAGAACCCAGAAGAGTTAGAAGAGGTCCCAGTAGGAACTTAGAACCTGACCTGGGCCTTGGTTGGGCATCTTTCTTGACTGGTGCCCAAGGATGGAGGGGAGACCCACATCTAGGGACTCAGGACGCAGAATCAAGAAACTCACTCAGTCTGTCTCTGTCTCCGTCTCCTTGTGTCTTCTTCTGTCTGTCTTCCTCTCTTTGTCTCTCACACATGCACACCATCATAGAGCTGGAAGGAAGCTTATGGAATATCTAGTCCAACCTCTGGTTTTTGGAGATAAGGAAACTGAGCCTCAGAGAGGTATTGAGAGGGCTGGACTAAAGGATCTGCAAGGTCCCCTCCAGCTCTAAATCCTACAAGACATCATGGTGACATTGAAAGAGCCCTGAGCATGGAATTAGGACACCTGGGTTTGAATCCTGAATCTCACCCTTCCTGGTTGCATGACCCTGGATAAATCACCTAACCTCTCTAGCTCAGAGATCTCCACACTGCTTAGGTATTGAGGACCACCACATACCCCTCAACCTCCCTTCCCTGTTCTAGGCTTTCCTAACTTGTCTCTTCATCATCCTCACCCCAGAATTGTCAACAGGTTCCTGAACTTTGTGAGGTTCATTCCTCTTCACCCTCCTCTCACCCCACCCTCCTACTTAGGTGTGGTGGGAAAAGGCAGGCCCTGTCACTAATATGTTGAGTGACCTTCTCTTCTCTGGGCCCATTTACTCCTCTGTAAAATGAGATTGTGATCATTTTCATCTCTCCCTCCATCCCTCCATGTCTCCTTCCTAGGGCTCTTGTGAGGATTATAGAGTTATAGAATCTCAGAGCATGAAGGGAACTTGGAGGTTGTTTTGTTCAGCCCCTACTTCAAGTAATAAGAAGAGCCTTGTCCTCAAAGCCAGAAGACCCAGGCCCCAATTTCATTTCTCCCGTTTCACTAGCACTGTGACCTTGGAGAAGTCTCTTCCCTTTCTAAGCCTCAGTTTCCTCATCTGTAAATTAGGGGATTGGATGCTAAGACTTCTTCTAGCTCTAACATTCTTTGAGTCTGAAATAATGGATAAAAGGGTATTTTGGTAACTGTGGATCAGAGTATATAAGCAAGGTATCACAAAGCAACACTCAGTCCCCAACTCTCTGTTCCAAGTGTGCTGGGTGATCACTGACTGATCAAAAGAATTTTGCCTTCAGTTTCTGCAAATCATCTTTTTATTCTCCCATCTTCCTGATTGGGTGACTCAGGCACAAGGCCCTGGGAGAGAGAGGATATCAGTTTTTCATGGCCCATTCTGTGGGAACTGGAGTAAGGGACTTTTTTTGGGGGGGTAAGGCAGTCAGGGTTAAGTGACTTGCCCAGGTCACACAGCTAGTAAGTGGCAGGTGTCTGAGGCTGGATTTGAACTCAGGTCCTCCTGACTCCAAGGTCAGAGCTTTATCCACTACACCACCTAGCTGCCCTAAGTGAAGGACTTCTAAAGGAAGTCAGTCTTGGTAAATCTATCCAAGTGCAACCAATTAATGGATTAGGTATTGGGGAAGAAAGTGAGTGCTCTCAAAGGAGCAGAAATCAAAGCCCAGGTCTCACCCTGACTGTGCAAATTTCTGCTAGTGACACAAAAATGTCACACCCATTGGGCTGTTACACCCATTGGTGAGATATGGATACAAGAGTGTATCTTGTATGGTCTTTTCCCGAATAGGAATCATATCCCCATCCCTTCCTGAAGTCCCAGTCAAGGAGGGAGTTAGGTCATTAGTTTTATCCTGTTTCTCTTCAAAGACAAGAACTTCCCTGACTGACCCTTGGGCTCCTCTTCCCATCACACAACTACCCTCAGAATGTGATTACAGATTTTCAGGCAAAAAAGAGTATGAGTCTGGAAATCAAGACCCTGAAGGACTCTTTGGAGAATATCAATACCACCTACAATGTCCTGAGACAGCAGCATGGTGAGTCTCCCCTTTTATGGTGGGAAAACCTCAGACAGAGTTATCTGTGACCACCTTTGATTGTCCTTGCTGCAACTACAGCTCCTTCCCATCCCAGGTAAGTCATTTTAGTGTGAATGAAGTTATTACATAATTACATAGAGCACCTGGGTCACTCCAGCTTGCACATGGACTACCCACCCAGACAAGATTCCTCAAGTTCAAAATATTTTGTGTATCTGCATATACTCAAAAACTGTACCTGATGAACCCCTACCAATGTGTTTATTTTTACTAATCGGCCAGATGACACAACTGGTTCAAATCAAACGTATTTTAATGAAATACTAGAAAGATCAGCAGTAGAACAATTTCTCCTAGGGCATACCTCCTACAAAAATACAAACCATCCATGGAAATAGCAAATTCATGTAGGAAATATACATGAAGGGATATATCCACAGGGAATATATGTATCTAAAGTCCATTTGCGTACAAGCAACTCACACCTATGACAATTCAGGGCCACTCATATCTCCTGATGATGCATCTTGTTTCTGCTTGAACCTGCTACAAATTGTACCTAACAGGCATTGCTCCAGAGATCTCATGGTGACTGCTGTGTATTACTAGCACCGGTGATCAGTTTCTTGGTGCTACTAGGCACTGACTTGCTGGATATGTGGTTGCAAGGCTTCCCTCTTCTACCAGCTTGTGGTTTTCAACTGAAATCTCATCTGAGAATTTCATGGTTTTTCTTCCAAATGAGAAGTGGGCTCTGTCTAATCTCTTTTAGCTTATGGATCAGAAGTTGCAGTTGCAGTGAGGAACTGACCCATCTAGTCGTCAGAATGGGAAACTCCTTGGCTATTTTCTTTCATAAGGAGAGGAAACAGTTAGACCCTAGAAGTATATAATGGGAAAAATAGTACTGATCATAATAGACAGCACTCAAGTTTCATATAAACTAGGCTGAGGTGGGGGTGGGAATGCTACCTATATTAATGCCAACATGGTACCTGAAGATTTCTCACACTGTAGTATATTTTTACACTCTAAAGAGCCCTAAAGTCTCTTCCAGCCTGAAATTCTGTGAACTTCTTGGCCTCTCTCTGTTAATTCATTCCCTTCTCTCCTCTCTCCTCCTTCTCCCAAGAGAGGTTCATGAAGAGAGACTCCAGGAACTGGAAAACTTACAATGGAAGTCTCTACTACTTCTCCTGTGATCTCAAGTCCTGGGAGGAGGCTGAGAAAGTCTGTGTATCCCAGGATTCCCACCTGGCATCTGTGACTTCTGTGGGAGAACAGGTAGGCGTACCCTCATAATTTATGGCCTGGGTGTTAGGTGAGGGACAGAACAAATGGCTTTATAATGCCTAGGAACTCCTCAATTCTGGTACAGGACAGAGAAACAGACTCCTGTCCCCAGAGGGGGACATTTACCTGGGGTCCACAGTGCCACATCTCAGAGGACCAGCTCAATCTCTGCCCTTCTCATCCTCACTCCTGCCATAGTGTTCTTCCTTGTTCTAGGGCAGGGTTAGCAGCCATAAGTGATGTCAGTGCTAGTTGGAGAATACAATGTCCCATCAGCCCACCCCTACTCCCTCCCCCACACTCACCACTGGGAATGCTCAGAGACAAACATAGATGGGCCAACAAATGAACACACACACATGCATGCACGTATTAATAGCACATTTTCTGTCAAATCTTTCTGAAGGAATTTCTTTACAAGACATTGAAGGGAGAGAGACATTGGATTGGGCTCAGTGACAGACACACAGAAGACACCTGGACCTGGGTGGATGGGACCATTTATGATGCAGTCCAGAGCAAAGGGTGAGTCTAGCATTTCTGTTCCTCCCCAGCCCTTCATTCTCCAGTCAACTATACTGAGGTTCCAGGGACTTACCCCATTCTCACCCTCTAAGAACAACTCAGAGATAATGAGGGGAGTTGGAATCCATTTCTGACTGTAACAATGGCTGATTACATCAGTGTGTGTGTGTGTGTGTGTGTGTGTGTGTGTGTGTGTGTGTGTGTGTGTGTGTAGTGCGGCTAGTCGTGTGTGAGGCTCTCAAGCACTCTCCAACATTGATGAGGCAGACTCTCAGACAGTCCCATCTGAGAGACACAGCCCTCAACTGTTTCAGAAAGAGTTAACATTACATCACAGACCTACCTAGTCCTTCCTGGAAGTTTAACCTGAGGACACTGGGGAGGCACCAGGAACACCCACAGCTGTTCTCTCCAGGGGGATAAAGAAACACACATGGCTCCCTTAGCCACCTTGCCAACGGTAAGAAAAACATAAACCAAAGGGAAGATTTAGAGGAAAGCCAGCGGTGGGATCCCTTGACTCTCTAGGCTTTCCTGGGTCTGAATCTCCAAGCCTGCCACAAAAATGGCCAATCTACTAACTAGTGATAGTAGGCTCATCTCTTCCTCACCAATAACCAATCAATCAGCAAGCATTTATTAAGTACCTTCCACATTCCAGATACTGTGCTAGGGGCTAAGGATTCAAATATAAAGAAGCAAACAATCCCTGATCAAAAGGAACTTATATTTTCATGGATGGGGGCAGAGACAAGTACATATTTATATGTGTGTGTATGTGTATACATATATATATAAACACACACACACATATACACACATGCACACACATATAGCATAAATATAAAGTTAACAAATATAAATATATATAAAAGGTTAAATACAAGGTAGTTTAGAAGGAAGTTGGAGAAAGGCTTCATGCAGAAGATAGAGCCTGGGCTGCCTCTTAAAGGAAGAAAAGGGTTCAAGGAGCCAGAGGTAAGGAGGAAGTGCATTCCAGGCATAAGGATAGCCAGTTTAAAAGGCATAGAGATAGGAGATGGAATGTCATAAAGGAGGATCAGAGAAAATGCTATTTTGGCCAGATGAAAGATTATGGAAGGGGTAAGTAATATCTAATAAGGCTAGAAAGGTTAGTTGAAGCCCTGTTGTGATGAACCTTAGAAGCTAAACAAAGGAGTTATAATTGATCTTAGGGGAAATAAGAGCAGCTAGGTGGTGTAGTGGATAGAGTGCCAGGGCCTGAAGTCGGGAAGACTCATCTTTGTGAGTTCAAATCTGGCCTCAGACAGAAATTTATTAGCTGTGTGACCCTGGGCAAGTCACTTAACCCTATTTGCCTCAGTTTCCTTATCTGCAAAATGAGCTGAAGAAGGAAATGGCAAACTACACCAGTATATTTGTCATGAAAACATCAAAAGAGGTCACAAAGGGCTGGACACTACTTAAACTACTCAACAACAACAGGGGAAATAGGAAACCACTAGCCGGTGGAGTAGTAGAGTCACATAGTAAGATCTGCACATAAGGCAAATTGCTTTGGCAGCAGTGTGTAGGAGAAACTTGAATCAGGGAGAGTAGTTAGGAGGTTGTTGCAATAATCTAGGGATGAGGTAATGAGGGCCAATACCAGGGTGGCAGCTGTGTGAATGGAGAGAAGGAATAAGATGCTGGAGATGTTGTAAGGTGGCAACAGCAAGATTTGGCAACCAATTATCCCCTACATCACACAATTCTGATACTCCAATGATAACAGCTCAGCTCAGGGGCAAATGGCTACACACACACACACACACACACACACACACACACACACACACACACACACACACCCCAGCTGTGGTAGTGGCTGCTCAGCTCAGTGCTTCAAGCTCCACTGCTATCTCTGGCCATGATTCTGGCCCAAGTAGCAAGTATAACCAGATTTGGAATCACAGGATCCGCATTTGAATCCAAAATGTGAGCCGGTGTGACTTTAGACAAGTCAAGTTCCTTTCCTGGGCATCAAATTTCCCAATCTGTAAAATGAAAGGGTTGGATTAGAGGATATTTATTTAAGCTCCCTCCCAGCTCTAACGATTCTGCACTCCAGTTCTAATTCCTGCCTTCCCTGGCTAGCTTGTGTTAACTCCTCAGGTCTTCTCTAGGCATCTTAGAATCACAAAATGAGTTGGAAGGAATCTCAGAGGTCAATGAATCCATTGTCCATGACTAGCAGTTGCCTCTACAACACCCCTAATAAGTAGTGATCTATTTTCCACTTAAAGATTCCCAATGACAAGGAGCTCACATTTTCTAGAGGCGATCCATCCCATCCTGGGGCCACTCTCTTTGTTAAAAGGTTTGTTCTTCATAATAATAACAGCTAACATCTATTTAATGCTTCAAGGCTTACAAAACGATTTACACAGGCTATCAGATTTGACCCTCACAAACACCCTGTCAGATGGGTGCTATTATTATCCCCATTTTAGAGATGAAGAGATAGGCTGACAGAGATTGTGACTTGCCCAGGGTCACACAGCTAATAAGTGTCTGAGGCTGAATTTGAACTCAGGTCTTCTTGATTCCAAGTTAAGTGCTCTATGCACTATGCCACCTATTTTCACCTACTGCTCCTGGTTCTATCATGTCAAGCAAAACAATTTGAATCCCCTGTCCACATTAAGAACTTCAAACACTAAAAGACAAAAATCAAGTTCCTGTAACAAAACAATAAGATTTCCACCCAGATATTGAAAGAGTTCATTAATCTCAATCTCTGGAATGACTCCCTGTCTACTGTCCATCATCTAGGTTCTGGATACCAGGGCAACCCACCAACTACCAGGGGAAAGAGGACTGTGTGGAGATGAAGATGGAGGCTCTCGCTTCCTGGAATGATGAGAACTGTGAATTAAAATACAAATTCATCTGTAAGAGTCCTCTTGGGCCATAAAACCTGGACTTCTAGGGGGGTATCTGAAACAGAAACCTGAAACAGAGCTCTGAGGACCCCAGTTCTGCACCTAGAATCTCTTCTGAATTCCAGCCTCATCAGGCACTCCTAGGTTTTCACCCTATGACACTGCTGTTAGTCAGCCTTGGGAAGCTGCAGGGATTTCAAAGCTTGGAACACGACTCAGATCCAGGAGGACTTTTGCCCCCAATCTGTCCATTCTCAGTCCTCTCAGTCATAAACTCACTGAATGTCAGAGTTGTAAAAGACCTCAAAGATCAAGTCCAAGCCAATAGGATACTCCTCTACAAAACTCCCTCATCATCTCCATCTCATAGAATCCCTAGCATCCTTCAAAGCACAGCTGACTCCTTGAGACCTTTCCTGATCCCCCAATTGCTAGTACTGTCTTCCTGTTGGAAGTACTTTGAATTACTTTGCACACAATTTTTACTTATTTTTTACATGTTGTATCTCCCCATTTGAACATAAGTTCCCAATACCCAAAAGGCTATGCAATTGTGCAATCCAGAAATGCCACTACTAGGTCTATATCCAAAAGAGATTTTTCCTTTTCTTGTGAGGCAATTAGGGTTAAGTGACTTGCCCAGAGTCACACAGCTAGTAAGTGTTATATGTCTGAGGCCAGATTTGAACTCAGGTCCTCCTGACTCCAGGGCTGGTGCTCCATCCACTGCGCCACCTAGCTGCCCCCAAAAGAGATTTTTTAAAGGGAGGAAAGTACCTATTTGTGTAAAAATATTTATAGCAGCTCTTTTTGTGGTGGCAAAGAATTGGAAATTGAGGGGGATGCCCAGCAATTGGGGAATGGCTGAACAAATTGTGGTATATGATTATAATGGAATGTTACTGTGCTATAGAAAGAATGAATAGGTGGATTTCAGAAAAAAAGACTTACCTAAACTGATACAAAGCGAAGTGAGCAAAACCAGGAGAACACCATACACAGTAATAGCAACACTATACAATGATCGACTGTGAATAACTTAGCTATTCTCAGCAATACAACGATCCAAGACAATTCCACAGGACTCATGATGAAAAATACTATCCACCTCCAGAGTGAATGGAGTCTGAATGCAAGTCAAAGCATATTATTTTTCATTTTCTGTATTTTTTCTTGTTTTTTTTTCTTTGAGTCTGTATCTTCTTTCACAACAGAACAATATGGTAGTATGTTTTGCATGATTAAACACATTATTACCTTTATCAAATTGCTTACTGTCTCAGGGATGGGTGGGGTAAGAGAGGGAGAGTGAAAATTTACAATCAAATTTTTTTAAATGAATGTTAAAAATTGTCATTACATGTAACTGGGGGGGAATAAAATATTATTTTTTTAAAAACAATATAATCTCCTCAGGGGCAGTATCTGTTTTATTTTGCCTTTGTATCCTGGTACCAAAAATGCCTTGCATATAGTAGGTGCTTACTAGGTGTTTGTTGAGTTGAACATCCCTGACTTATTAATCCCATGACTTCTGTGTAGAGAAGTTACCTTCCAAAGCAACCCATTCAATTTTGTACAACACTAACTGTTGGGAAATGTTTTATGATATTGATCCTAAATCTGCCTCTAGAACTTCCCCTCATTGTTTCCAAGTCTGCCTTTAGGGCCAACAAGAACAAGTCTAGTCCCTTTTCCCCATGAAGACCCAGATGAATGGAACAGTTGCCACACCCTCCAGCCCTACCACCAATCATCCCTGGTCTACTCACTCCTCCTTCCTACAGCCTCCAGTTCTTTGGTCCATTTTCCCCTACCCCCAAGTCCCATAACCCACCACTACTAGTCTTTGATGCTGCTACAGCTTCATGTGCTCCTAACCTCCCCTTCACTTTCCCTGAGCTGAGCCAGGGAGGATGTGGGGACCTCAGGTAATGAGGGGGCCTAATGATATGAGAATCAGTTGAAGGAACTGGGGGGGGGTTAAGCTGAAAAAGAGAAGACTCAGGGGCAGATACTTTTGCTTTCTTCATGTTTCTGAAGGTCAAAGGTGAAAGGTTAGACCTTCTGTTTGGCTGCAGAGGATAGATCTAGAACCATAGGGAAGAAATGACAGGGAGGTTGGCTTGGCTCTGTGTAAGGAAAATCTTTCTCAGTTAATAATGGTCAGTCAAGAAACATTTAAGCACCTACTATATTCCAGATACTCTGATAAGTACCAGAGATATAAAAGAAAGCAAAAGACAGTCTCTGCCCTCAAAGGGCTCGGTAGAATGGGGGAGAGAAAAAGCAAACGAATATATACAAATAAGCTATATATGGCACAAATAGGAAATAATTAACAGAGGGAAGGCATTGATAATAGTAGTGTTTGCGTAAAGCTCCCTTTAGAAAATGGAATTTTAGTTGGGACTTCAAGGAAGCCAGGGTCAGTAGTTGGAATGGTGGAGGAAGAGCGATCTAGACATGTGGGCAACCAGAGAAAATGCCTGGAGCTGAGAGAGGAGGAATTTGTTTGGGAAACAGCTGGGAGGCCAATGTCACTGGATCAAAGAGTATGTGTCAGGGAGTAAGGAGGAAAAAGACTAGAAAGGTAGGAAGGGGCTAAGTTACACAGGCATCGAGTGCCAAAGAGGAGGCAAAGAGTGCCAATTTGAACTGTGCACAAGTGGTAGGAGCTTTGTCAAGAGGCAGGCAGGCAGCTCGTGGAGGCTCTAGGGGATCTGGAGGCCAAGGCCAGGGAGTCACCTGAGGAACATAATCGAAATAGGTTTATGTAGTGTATGGACCATGTGACCTCTGATATTGTAATTCTGGTATTCCTGTCTGTGAAGTAGCTTCTAGGTTGCTCTCAAGTCCAGGAGTTCTACACCTTTTTTGTGTGTTACAGACCCCTCTGGCAGTCTGGGGATCCCTAGGGACCCCTGATTTTTAAATGCATAAAATAAAACACATACAATTACAAAGGAAACCAATTATAATGAATGACAGTTATCAAAATCCTATTAAAAAGGCAAGCCCACCACCCCTAGACTAAAAACCCCTGTCTAGGAGGGTATTCAGATTGAAGAACTGCCGTTTGAAGGGAGATTCCATTTTTCTGTTTAGCTCCAGAGGGCAGCACTAGCAGGCACTTTAGCCCTAGAGTAGGGCTGGATGGAATTTGCAGAAAGACAGATTTTGACTCTATGAAAGGAAAATCTTTCTAAAAAATGAGAGCTGCCTGAAAGAGAAATGGGTTTCCTCATAAGGTAGTGAGCTCCCCATAGGTCAAAGTGTTCAAGTAAAGACTAAATGACCATATGTCAGGGGTGTTATAGAAGAGTGTCCAGGTCTGGTTAAGGTTAGACTAGATGAGATGGCCCCTGGAGTTCCTTTTTGGCTCTGAAATCTATGGAGATTTGTATTAAATCTGTTTATAGCCACCTGACTTTCTTGGCTTCCCTCTGAGAACCAAGCAGTCCAATAAGGAGCTTCAATCCCCCACTGTCCTTTCCTGGGACAGATAATCTCCAGGGAGGCAACAGGGAGTTGTGGACATGAAATGAAGGGAGCCAAGTTCTATTCCTGGCTTTAACATACCTACCTGAATAACTTGGGGCAAGTAACTATGCCACCTTACCCCCTCCATTTGTCCATCTACAAAATGGGTATAATTATACCACCCACGCCACAGTGGTGTTGTGAGGATCAAATGAGATAATAATAATAATACTGACAATAGCTAATATTTATATAGTGCTTACTATGTACCAGACACTGTGATAAGCATTTTACAAATATCTCATTCGATTCTCACAACAACCCTGGAAGGTAGGTGCTATTATTATCCCAGTTTTACAGACGAGGAAACTGAGGTAAACAGAGGTTAAGTGACTTGTCCAGGGGCACACAGCTAGGAAATGTCTGAGGCCAAATTTTTATTCAGGTCTTCCTGACTCCAAGCTAGTGCTAGCCACTGGGCCACCTAGATGCCCCATGCCATACATGTAAAGTGCTTTGCAAACCTTACCATGATCTATAAATGTTAGTTATTATTACTTGGTGCAGCCGAGTGAAGTCCAGTATTTTTCAAAGTCACTGTACTCAGAAACTGAAAGAAAAACCAAAGAGAACTCAGCGCCGATCTCTGCAGTCCCCCTTACAATCCCACCTCATATCCCAGCCCATTCATCACCTGCTCCTTCTGCTGGGGCCCCTTGCTTCCATCTAGCACTTTCATTTCTGATGCTGACTTTAAGGAAATTTCAGCAGGTGGTTGCTCTGAGCAACAAGGGTCCTCGTGTAAACTCTACTGTCTTGATCCCCTTAGTCTTGGGAGAGGAAGATCATGTGAAGATCATGTATATTAGACACAGCTTGGGCTTGGGTTTCCCTGAGGGAAGTTTCTGAGATCCCTTGGAGGGATAGATTTCTCTGTCTCTCTGTCTCTCTGTCTCTCTCTCTCTCTCTCTCTCTCTCTCTCTCTCTCTCTCTCTCTTCTCTCTCTCTCTCTGTCTCTCTCTCTCCCCCCTCCCCACTTCCTCCCCCTTCCCCTCCCCCTCCTCCTCTTCCTCTCTCTCTGTCTCTCTCTTCCTACTGCTCCCTCCCCAATTTTACAGGGGAGAGAATGCTGAATTGGGAGTTAGGAAACCTATGTTCACATTCTGCTCTGACACTTATGACTTGTTTGACCTTGGGCAAATTGCCAGGCCTCTTTGGACCTCTGTTTCCTCATCTGTAAAATGAAGGGTTTGGACATTTGTCAGCTGAAGTCCCTTCTAGTTGTATATCTCTGATTCTATTCCTGCCCTCCTTCCAGTACTCTCCTGGGCACCTGAAGTCTCAACCCCTCAAGGCAATCTGGATTGTTGCAATAGTCCTGAGAGGTAAAGTGGTTTCTGTGGGTCCTCTAGAATTGTAATCATATACAGCATGGCATAGAGGGAAAGGGTTGGACTTGGAAACAGGAGAACTAGGTTTGAGTCTTTAATCTACAATTTATCAGATCTGTGGCCTTAGGAAAGTCAGTTCCCTTTTCTAGGCCTCAGTTTCCTCAATGGTAAAATTAGTATGTTAAAGGCAGGCCTGACTCAGGCCCTGTTCCTTCAAGTTCTGTGTTGGAACGTACTTGTAGATCATTCAACAGTTAATGAAAAGGAGATTTACTTAGTCATAGCATAGAAAGGATATTCAACAAGGATACTGCAGCACTAAGCTTGGGTAGACCTGTACACACACACACACACACACACACACACACACACACACACACACACACACACAAACTATTTCCATATATAATTGGTCTCATCAGCAGGGTAGGATGTAGTGATTTGCATAGTCTTGGGACATCCACCAAGTCTGAAGAGCCCAGACCCCACCTGGGTGGGCCTTTTAGTGCCCTTAGGTGATCGATATGACCAAAAGCTGTCAAAGGAGGCTTGGGCCTTGGCCCATGGGCCAATTAAGTCCCAGAGATACCTTCGTCACCTTTCAGGAAAAAACTAGCTTAGCCCATGTTGCAAGAGGAGGGAGAAATCCTGGTAGATACTGGTTTTTCACATAGGACACTAGATTTAATGAGTTCTAAGTCCTTTGATGTTTAGGGGATAATAAAGCTCTGTCTTCAGCCAATAGCTTTCCTGGTCTTCATCTTTTTA